GGGTATAAAAGGGTCACGCACGATTTCCAAGGCCCTCCAGAGAACGACTAGGCTTTGCTGCCACCTTGTGGAAGGAAGCTAGAAGGCAGGATTGTGCCGCCCTAGGCCAGAATTGGTGTGCCCCAAGGTGTGCTTTTGGGAGAGCCGCTTTAAGGAATCTCCAAGTAGGGAATTCACCCGGACCTGGGCAACTGAGTTCCCAGGCTACCACATCATCAGCTGTCACAATCGTGATGTCTCCTTGTCAAGAGTTCAGGCTTCGGGCTTGGTGCAATAATCTTGTGGCTAAAATCCTCACCTTGCATTGGCCAGGATCTCGTATGGGCGCTGGTTCAGATCCCAGATGCCCTATTTCCCATCCAGGTCCCTGTTTATGGCCTGGGAAAGCAGTAGAGGATGGATGGCCCAAAGCCTTGGGACCCTGCACCTGCATGAGAGACCCAAAAGAATCTCCTGGCTCCTGGCTTCGGATAGGCTCAGCTCTGTGAACCAGTGGATGGAAGATGTTCCTCTCAGTCTCTCTTTCTCTCTGTAAATCTATATTTCCAATGAAAATAAATAAATAAGTCTTTTTATTAAAAAGTTTGTCCAAGCTTCATGCAGTGTCAAGGTGGTACGAGGAGTAACCACACAGCTATGATCAGGATTAGGATACCTGGTGCCCCTGGTATGCTGTCCTGGACCAGAAATCCCAAGGTGGGGCTCTCAGGAGGAACTCTGCAAGGAATCCCTGAATGTGCATGGCCCGGGGTGGGGGGGGTGGGGTGGGGGAACAACCGTGGGAGGAAAGGGGGACAAAGATAGGGGACACGAGGTGTGTAACCAGCTGGTTGGACAACAACTTTAGGCCCTTCCAGGCCACAGGAAATGATCAGCTAAATTCTTTCTACCCTGAAATGGGGTCAAGGGCAAAGGCTCTCCTGCTACCTTCCTCCAAGAGTGGCTCTCATAGGTGAAGACAGCCATCATTGGACATCTCTCCACCCCCCAGAGCCTCATTTTCCTGGGTGTGGCCCATGCAGAAGCACGTGTTGTTGCAGAGAATTCAACAATGTGAAACACGACAGCAACATTGTTTCTTGTCTCACACAAAGAAGAACTTTCATGCAGACAGCTCTAGTTTGCAAAGCAGGATTCATTTAGGAAGAGGGGGAAGACGCCCTCCCTCGTAGCAGGAGGGGGCTCCAAGGAGCACTAGTGTGAGAAAATTGAGGCAGAGGGAGTAAAGTGCTCATCTGATAAGGCAAGTCTTGTTGGGGCTGGAGTCAAGTCCTCACTCTACACAGCACATGGTCCCCAGTATGTGTGCAATAGAGGTGGCTGGTGTGCTGGTCCTGGACTCTTTCCCAACTGGAACTCTGATAGGAAATTGAGGCAGATCTCTCCTCTCTGGTCTGTCCTCCACTCCCCTCCCCTCCCACTTCTCCCAAGGCTTCTAAGGAATGTGGCTGTTCTTTTGCTTTCAGCCTCCCCATGTAATTTATCCTGGGAACATTATCATCAGGCAGTTCTTCCTACAGTCTAACTTCCACACACTTCTAGATGGAAGAAGTGGGACAGCCAGCCAGCTTTTATTTCAGAGGCTGGGGGTGTTCTTGGTCCCTAAAATCAGAGTTTAATGATCTGACCTTGACAACCAGGGCTGACCAATCACAGAACTCAGTGACATTGCTTAAATGAAAGAGGACCAAAGTAGAAATGCACACACACACACACCCCTCCGGGCACTGCTTCTGTGGCTGGTAACTATCTGTTGTTTGTTGCTAGAGCGCCTACCTCCGGCTTCTCAGTCAGGTCAAAACAAGCAAGCTTGTAGCAGCCATCCAAACCCCTGGCAACTCCATCCACAGCCCCCACCCTCCACTCCCTTCCCATCAGGGGTGGAGCTGCCCTTGCCTGCCCACCACCCTCCCTGAACACTGGGGAGGGAGTGATTAGCATTGGGGCATTGTCCCCGGATAATGGGCCCCAGCTGCCTGTTTGAAATAAGAGACAAAGCGCCTGGCGGCTCCTCGAGCATTATCCCCTCGTTAAATCTCTGTTATTAGATTAGATTCAAAATGTATTGATTCAGGAGCTGGGGGAAGGCGGGAGAGAGAGGCGAGCCTGGTTCTGGGATGGGCGCATGCTCCCCCCCCCCCGCCCCCACGCCCCTTGCTTCCACCCAGCCCAGCAACTGTATCTCCTCTGGGATCCCTCCGTGAGACCACACCCTGGCCTGTGAGTTCAGTTGTTGCAATCTGGGTGTTCTGTCCTGGGAACCTTGAACCCATGTCATCCGTGTTCGGGGAGGAAGGGTGTCGGCACCTCCCCCACACACTTAGAACAGAGCCAAGGGACTGTTTTCAGTAGCCTTGGAAATCCAGGTGATGGGGAAAGAAGATGAGAATCGGGAGTTTGAGAGATGAACAGGAAAGGCTGCAAAGAGAAGAGTGGGGATGAGAGAGAAGCAGGGAACTTGGGAAGGTGTGGGTGCTGCCAACTTCGCTCCTGGAGGCCGAATGCTGAAGAGGCCAGAGAGGAGAGGCAGCAGGTTTCTGCAGGTGCAACAAGTCAGAAGGGCTTCCAAGTGTGATCATAGCCCATGTGGGGCAGAGGTCTCTAGGAGGGAAGGCAGAAATCAGCATTTGTGCTGATTCAGACACAGAGAGATTCACTGGCCTGGGCCTCAGTTTCCCACCCTTGGGCAGCACAGCCCAGATCCTGGATCAATGTGCTCATCGGATGTGGCCAGTGGAGCAAAGGATGTTACAAGAGGCAGTTCATTCCAGAGCTAGTTAATTGGCTACCTTGATGCTGGGCTCTCTTGCCCCATTGATTATGGATAAAGGGTGAGGAGGGAGAGATGGAAAATCAATAGGTTGATTAGTGTCTTACCAGCTCTCTGATTGGACACTTTGTCAATACCCACCCATTTACTGACCAGTGGTACATCGACAGTGCCAGATTATCCACATTTCTATCTCTTGGGTCCAAAACCCTAACAGGATGATTGGCCTCAGTCAGGCCTGGGGTGGCAGCTCTTCATTCTGAGAATATACCCAAAGTGTGGACTTTAGAAACCTTCCTGGGGTGGTGCAATGACTCAATTGGCTAGTTCTCTACCTACACGCACTGCCAACGTATGACCTGGCTGTTCCACTTCCCATCTAGCTCTCTGCTTATGGCCTGGGAAATCACTGGAGGATGGCCCAAAGCATTGGTTCCCTGCACTCATATGAAAGACCTTAGAGGAAGCTCCTGGCTTCTGGCTTTGGATTGGCCCAGTTCAAGATGTGGCAGCCTCTGGGGTGGGGAATGAACCGATAGATAGAAAACCTTTCGCGATGTCTCTCCTTCTTTCTGTAAATCTGCCTAAAAGGAGCCATCCAAAGTGAGGGTAGGTGAGCAAGTCCAGGGTTAGCTCAGCAGGAAGCAACAGAGGTCCATGAGGACCAATCCCCAGCTCTACAACCTCTGGCTCTGCACTGGAAGAACCTGACTTTTAACCATCAACAAAATAAAAATGAATACCAAGCATATATACAGCACCTGTGTCTGAGGTGGAGGCAGCCATTAGCCTTAGGAACAAGCAGCCAGTTAGTATTTGATGAGCTGCGTGACATGCTGGGGAGGCTGGGGAGGAGGAGAAGCTAGGGGACGCTGAATCCGATAAAGCCGCTTCCTTAGCCACTAGGCTCTTCATACATGGGCATCTCCACCCAGTTTCCCAGACGATTTCTGAACTGGAATTGTAAATTTTGGTTCAGAGATCTAACTTCAGATATTTTAGACTGAGAATGTGTGACTGGCAGGCCTGGGATGACTGGGGAGACAGTGGGTCATTGGGGATATTTCAGTTGGATCCTGTCCCTTTACCCTGATGTTACTTCATCACCCTCCACCATGCCTTTCTCAAGGTGACAGAGTGAAAGAATGAGGCTGGAAAGAGACTGGGAAAGCCAGAGAAGGGCACAAAGACAGCCCCCTGGTGCAGACCAGCATGCCTTCTCTCTGAATGCTTGTTAGATTGGTAGAGTGAGATGGCATGGCTGTTTCTTGCCATGTCTTAACCCCTGAAATCTGGATATATAAAAAGTAAAATTCAAGGGCATTCCTCTGAGTCTGCCTCTTTCATGGTCCTACCTGGTGGGGGCTGCTGAGAGCTCTAGAGGAGTTAGGTAAAAAATAACCCCAAGCCTTGGTTTTCATGGTGTCCTCCAAATAGCAAACCAGCAGGCACTGACCGTGGTGCTGAAGTTGCTCTGTCCATTGCAGGATCCTCTTGTAGGGAGAGCTTGCTGCCAGCTTCATAGAGATGGGAGCCCAGAATGATACAGGACTGGGGGATTGGACAGTGTTCCAGGCACCTAGACAGGGGTGGCAGCAGGGAGAGGCTCCCTCATTCTCTTGTTGCTAAGTGTTCTGCTACTGAACCTCACACCCGCTCTCCTACCATTTCTTTTTCATAACTGTTAACACTTCACCTCCCATGGTACCTTAAATCAAAAGCACCAAATGATCGATTAAAGGGGTAATTCCCAAGCCTTATGTCTACTGGTAACCTTCAACCTCTTCATTCAGCTGTCCGAATTTTTCCCAGAGCTGCTAATAAACAGTCAATTGAGTCTACGACTTCACTGTTTTATGACCCCCCCACAAGCCCTATCTGATGACAGAGAATACGTATCCAGGGAAGTGTGTCCATAGGTGAGGTGAAGGAGATTTTATGGGTTGGGTAAATCTTGTGCATAGGTATCAGGTCTGTGTTGCTTTTGCCTAACCTAAAGACAAGTTTGGGGGAGGTGAGCAGAATTCCAAAGAGCTTTATTCAGGAAAGTGCCAATGCGGTAACTGAGACCTAATATAGATAGATATAGGTAGAGTGAAGGTACAGAATGCTGCGGTTTCTCACAATCTAATGGAGTGTGCTTTAAAGCCGTGACGGATAGCTGAATGGGAGGACAAGAAGTAAGAGTCTTGGTCAACAAGTTCTGGAGGAAGCATTCAGGTTGCCAAGAGCAACTGGCATTGGAAATAGGGGCAGAACAGAATCTGGGATGTCCCTGACATCACAGGGGTCCTGAAGGACTTAGGCCAAAATCCTGCAGCCCTATCTCCCCATGCCCATTTGGCTCTCTGCTGAGCCCACTTCCTCAGGAATACTGCCAGACGGACCAGAGTGAGACCAGGGTGATGGTGTAGGCCAGCACTGCCAGCAGGTAAATGCGGAAGAGCAGCTTGTCCAGCACGGAGCCCACACGCAACCAGTCCCGAGCCACCTCTCGGATCTCATCCCGCTTCTCCAGGAAGTGACGGATGGAGGCCAGCTCCTGTAGCAGTCCACGCACAGCCAGAGAGGCCTCCCGTGGGGGCGGGGGAGGGCTGCCACTCCCCCGGACCATCTTCTCTGAGTTCTGGGGTCCATCCATGTGGCTGCAGTGGTTTCCCATTGCTGGAAGAAGAACAGAGTGTTGGCTGGGCAGGGAAGCACAGAGGCATGGACTGAAGACTGTGCCCTACATTTCTATACCAGCTAATGTGCACAAATTTATCAAAAGCAACTAGTGCAACTGTGGAGCCCAAAGACACAGCCTGCAGTTCTTTCCCAGGTTGTTAAGTTCACCCTTTCCATGCGTTGCTTTGAACCTGTGGGCTGCCCTCAGCAATCTCACTTCTATTATTTCAGTTGAGCTTCACAATAGCATAAGAGAAGCAAAGTAGAAATGATAACTTTTCCTGTGTTTCAAGTTATGCTACTGAAGCCCAGAGAAGGTAAATGACCAGCCTGCATCCTACTGCCAGAGCATCCTTTGCTGGTGAGATTACCATGCCCAGGCACCTGCACTTCCAACCTACTGTCCTGAATGCCACAGCACAGAAAGGGAAATATGGCCAGAGCCATTGGCTTCCTCTGGACCCCTCTGGACCAGAAGACCTTCTCAAGGATAGCTACTGTCACCAGATGAAGCCAGCAGTGGGCCGAGGGACGTATTCTCCAGCACACAATGAGACAGTCTTAGAGAGACAAAGGCTCACATAAGTGGCCTGGCCTCAGCCAGGAGAAAGAACAAGAAGGAGCAGGTGAACAGCTAGGTTGAAAACACAGGTTTAGAGTTGAGTGGGTGTGGATTCAGACCACCTTCCACCAGTTTCTCTCTCTGTGGCTTGAGGAAAGCTAGCAAACCTCTGTCTCTCGCTCTCTGTCTTTGAAAAGAAAGAATGGGAATCCCACAGGTGGAGATGCACTTTTGTGCTCACCGCAGACCTGGCACAAAGGGTTCAAAGAGTGAGCCAGCAAGTCTGCCACCAACGCCACCATGGCAATAGATGGCAGCCATAATGGTTCTTAGAAGAGCAGGAGCTGAGCATTCAGGGTCTCGCTGCCCCACAGATGTCTGCATTCTAAGGGACCTGGGCTTGGGCTGGTTACAGGAGAGAGTCTAAAAAATGCCAGGTGGTCAGTGATTGCCTATAGGGCATCCTGTTGAAATGACCACCCAGCCCAGAGGCTCCTGACATGCCCAACCTCTCTGTTCATGCTCAGGCTGATGTGGGCACGGGGAAGCAAAGAAGGGGTTCAGAATGACTCCTTCGCCTGAAGCCTGCCCTTCCACATAAGGCTAGAGGGGGAAACATGTGCAGAATAGCACTGATGCTTCCTGGGCCCTTGGACACCGCCTACCCGTGGGGACTCCCACCACATCCTGCAGCTCTGCTGGTAATGCCTGCTCTGTGTGGAATTCTTCTCTTCCCTCTCACCTGAGCAGTCATCTGTCTTGGCGGCCTGGGAGGTAGCTTGGAGTCTTTGAGATGTCACCTGCTCCTGGAGGCAGAGCAGCCGGGCAATTCTTTCCAGAACCAGGTGTCGCAGCCAGGTTGGCACGGGCTGCTGCAGGTCTTGCTTGTGCACCAGCCGCACAATGAGGATGGTCTCGGCCAAACTTACCACCAGCAGAGCCATACACACCACAAAGTAGACACCTGCAGACCCCAGGGCAGGGCTATGAGACACACAGGAAGTGGAAGAGGGTCAGATCCTCACCAGGCCGATTCAGTTCATCCCCCAGGCTTACCAATGAGGGGAGTACCGATGGCTGTGGCTGGCAACGTGTCAGACACAATGATCAGGAAGACCGAGTAGCCCAGGAGCAGCGTGATCTTGAAGGAGACCCTCTCACCACTGTCCGGGGGCAGGTAGAAGCCCACAATGTCCATGACCATGAGGAAGATACTAGGCAGCAACAAGCTGACTGCATAAAACAGGGGCCGCCTGCGGATGACCACCTGAGAGTGAGGGAGGAAACTGTGAGAAGCCTGGGGCAAAGGGCCTGTGCATCTGGAAGCCACCACCCCCAGCTCAGACCCTCTTGCTTTGTGGAGCTCTTCAGAGGAGGAAGCAGACAGGCCCCATACTCTGTCTCCTAATCCAGACTTGCAGCTGTCCCCAGTAAGCAAGGAACTTCCATCCAGAGTTAGTGTGTGGTCCTGGGGCTGGGAAGGGGCTGTGGAAGTTGTTTTCCAATCTACTGCCTTACTTCTACCTGGGCATGAAGATCTAGTGCTAGTGGTTGTATCATCATTTCACCCACATCCTTTCCCACTCACATAAAACTTCATTTCGGCATAGCAGTCACTGCTCTCCATGCTGAATCTCCGGAACTGGGTCAGCACTGCCAGCAGCTCCCACTCGCCCTGGTTCATGAAGACGCTTTTGTCATACTTCACTTCCTCTGGCAAGCGCCACAAGCTGATGTTGATGTCCTGGACTGAGGGAGAAGAAAGCAGGTTGGCTTTGGAGCCCAGTGCTAGACTCCATGATGGCAGGGCAAGAGGCAGGCCATGGCCCAGAGAACCTGGAGTCAGGGGCCTGGACCTCAAGCTTATCTCTGAACCCTCAGCCTCTGCAACCTCAGCTCCAGCTTGAGGCAGCATTGCACATGGGACCTGCTGCACAGGTAGTGAGGATAAGTGAGGGTTTATGCTGACACAAGTGTGAAACTCTTCTAAAAACAAGCTGCTAGAGTTTGGGGTCAAGGACAGAGGTCAAAGGAGCCTTCAGCCTTATTTTTAGTCTGCTTTATCAAAGGGGCTGTGTGTTGGGCATTATAATTTAAGCTTAATGTGATGAATAAATGAGGCTAGAAATGGAGGATGCTTTGCAGTCAGGCAATGTCCACATTGGCTCTCCGGGGAGTATCCAGCTTTCACTCACCCAGTAATGTTTGCCAAAGACCTTGCTTTGTGCCAGGCATCGTGCCAGGATCTAATGGTGGACAAGAAAGCATGTCCCTGCCCCCTCTAAGTTTACAGCCATGAAGAGAGTAGACATGGAACAAGCAAGGGCAGGTGCAGCAGAGGGGGAGAAAAGGAAGCTCTAACACTAGGAACAGGGAAGGCTGAGTCTGGGTGGGGGCCGGGGCATTCCTCAGGAGCTGACACTTAGGGTGCCATCAGATAGGGAAATAGAGGGTTGGCCAGGCTGGGTGTGGTGAGAGGGCACATGTGGGACAGGCATGCGGCAGAAGAAAGAACAGGAGGAAAGCCAGGGGACTCGTGCAACACTTGGGCAGGAAAGGAGGCTGAGATGCCTGGATATAAAGAGTGGTGTACAGTGAGAGATTCAAGGCCAGATCTTGTGTGTGCTGTTGGAAAAGAACCATCTCCAATGGTCTTGCAGTCAGTTCACCCTATTTGGACAAATCCTTTACAGGGGACAGCAATCTTTGCTCCATCTGCAGGTTGAGGAAACAAAGTCTTGGGGACATTAAGAAAACAGCAGTAAGCAAGCAAGGAGGTAAGGGAGGATACGTAACAGAGTGCTCATCACGCAGGTGCACCTCGTGCCACCCCTCCCAAGCTGAGCATACTCACTGGTGTGCAGCCAGCTGGTGAAGGTCAGGGAGCAGTTCTGTACATCGAAGGGGAAGTTGTAGATGTCGAGGCTGCAGGCGGTCACCACCTGCAAGGGCTTGTAGTTCTGGACCTCACCCTGATGCCGAACATACACGTACGGGATATAGGGAGATTTCCCCACGTCCACACTGGCCAGGGAAGAAGGGTCAGTTTGGGGGTAGGAGGCAGGTCAGGCCCTGGGGAGGCTAACGAGCTCTCAGCAATCCCACAGGACAATGCCAACAGCTTTGTCTGCCACCGCATGACCTACATTCTCCTCTAGCCAAGGGTAAGGCTACTTTCCAAACAGTAAAACTTATGCCCCTGGCCACAGACCCATATGTTCCCTCCCACATCCAGTTTCTTTCTGCTTCTCACTCCTAGAGGTCCTTTAAAGGGACAGGAGTCATCTCTGGGGAAAAGGGAACTGAAGAAATCATGCATTAGACATGGGGCAGGAGCAGAAGAACCCTGCAAAATCCATCCCACTCCCATGGCTGATCCAGAAGCCCCCAGGGGCAGGGAGCTGTGGAGAGGGCTCCGGAGTGACCACTGAGGCATGCTGGGACCAGGCCTGGAGTCCTACATGTTCAGTTCCCTGCGAATCAAGCTGTAAAATGAGAAGCCAGGACTAAGGCTGCCACACTGCTGGAACTTGAGGCCTAGCCTGAAACAACAATTTTCTCAGACCCTCTCCATCCTAAACAGGGCATGAATCAGCTCTTTTGCCTGGGGAAATGCCAGTGGCACGTCCTTTGGTGCTGGAAAATCTAGTGGTCCTGCATGGAGGGCAACTGGCCCCATCTGTCACCTTCCTCCTCTCATCTATCTTGCCCAGCCACTTTCCCTGCCATTGAATTCAGAAGCCCACTTGGTGCACTCCGAACGAACCTGCAGGAGGGGAAGAAGGCCTTTTGGCTGAGATGTTATGGGTCAGTGTTTGGCTGTTGGAAATAAAGGCTTGGGAGACTCACTGGGCACTGGAAGTGCAATTGCAGCCTGTCATGCGCTTGTGGGACTTGGGGCTGGCGTGTCTCAGTTCCAAACCTATGGTACAATCTCCTTTAAAAATGCAGCTGTCCCTGACAGGCTATTCTAGTGTAGTGTGAATTCACTCCCTGTGACAGGGGCTTCTGGATTACAAAGCACAGAATTTCAACATTAGGTCTGGAGAAAGAGGAATTATGAAGGAAGGAAGGGAGGAAAGAAGGAAAGAAGGGAGGGATGGAGAGAAAGAGAAAAAGAGAAAGAAAGAAAGAAAGAAAGAAAGAAAGAAAGAAAGAAAGAAAGAAAGAAAGAAAGAAAGAAAGAAAGAAAGAAAGAAAGAGAAAGAAAGGAAAGAAGGAAGGAAGGAAGGGAGGGAGGAAGGAAGGAAGGAAGGAAGAAAGAAAGGAAAGAAAGAAAGAAAGAAAGAAAGAAAGAAAGAAAGAAAGAAAGAAAGAAAGAAAGAAAGAAAGAAAGAAAAAGAAAGAAAAAGAAAGAAAGAGAAAGAAAGAAAAAGAAAGAAAGAAAGAGAAAGAAAGAAAAACAGGCGAAGGACATTCTGGGCTCAGGTCAGCTTGACTTGCAGCCCATGAGTCAGGACGGGGCACCCCAGAGGCACCAACAGCCATCTTGCCACCCAGAACCCCTAGCTCCCCCACCCCTCAGTTCCCCAGCACCCCACCTCCGAGGCCAGGACTCACAACTCATTGATGAGAATGTCTGGGACCCAGACACTGTCCGTGGGGATGGACAATTTGGTGATGTTGTCAAAGTCCTCTGGGTTCCACTGGAGAAACTCATCTGTCCAGAACTAAGGGAGGAGCAGGAGTGGTCACGGGCGGCCCCTCCACTGAGGTGAGTGGCACCAGCAACTCCGGCTGGCTGCCCTCATCCCAGACTGCAGGTGGACAACTTTCTCAGGAAAGTCTGGGTACGATGATGGCCCATCTCTGTAGTAACTGAGCGTGTCCCCAGCCCTGTCTTCACATTCTCTCCACCAATAATGACAAACCAGATACAGTCTGCTCTCCAACGAAGGCAATGGCAGGAGTCCCCTACCCAATGGGGAGGTCTCGTACAAGCCACTTCCTGGGTGTCAATCTGTACATAGGTAGATGGGGCTAGTAAGTCGCCTCACAGGATAGAGATGGCTGTTGTGTTTGCATCAGTGCCTTCTCCACTTTTCGTGCCAGAACGACCTGCCTAAAATGTGAACTTGGCCGTATCACTCCCTTGCCTACAATTCTGCAATGGTGTCCATTGCCCTTGGGATAAGGTTCAGTCATGGCCAACAAAGGATCTGCACCTGTCTCTCCTGGCTCATTTTTAGGCCCCATCTTCCTGTGAATTGTAGCATGCAGCCATGAGGAATTAAACGCTATGCAAACCCAGCTCCTTCTCTAGCAGTGTAATCCTTGCCTTCTTCACCAAGGGAATTCTTTCTCATCCGTGCACACAAAGCCAAGCCATCTATCTGCCCCTTTCTCCAGGACCCCTTCTGGCCAGCCCCTCACCCAATCAGGGTGTGTGTGTGTCTCCTGTGTGTGCCTCCTCTGCGTCCCTGCAATCAACATCTTTTTCTTATCTCATGAGACTAGTTGGCTTTGTGTTTGGTGCTTGCACTCATCTCCAAGCCCATTGTATGTGTCTAGTTCTAGTCCCTCAGCACAGGTGATGCCTTATGCCACACCAACATCCTCTCCCTGACTGTAAGCAGTTGGTATAAACAAAGACCCCCAGAGGTTTGGGGGCTTGAGCTGCATGTCCCTGGGAAGGTTTTCTGGACTGCCCATTCAGCAGGGTGTGCTCTGGGAGTCCTGAGGGTGAGATTAATAATGTGGCCTCCTGCCTGTGACTCGGGAATGCCTGCGGGCAGAAGGGAGGGCCCCATGTTGGCCAGCACTGTCCCCAGTACCTCCCTCAACCTGAGTCCTGTGAGTGCTCCTCTTCTTCAGGCTTTTCAGTTTCCTCCCTGCTTTGACTTCTTCCTCACTACTTCGGGTCTGCCAGAGCAGAGTGGGTGCTTCTACTGCCCGCTTGGAGCCCAGCCACTAGCAAGGCCTCAGAGATGGCCACTCATCTGCGCCACCTGGGACATCAGAAGGGGCCGAGTGGGGAAAGTACCCAGGCTGTGAGCCCCTTTATGTCACTCCATTTGGCTGTAGCACAATGCAGCTTCATGGCAGAGAGAATTTTCCAGCAGTTTGAGCTCCCAGGCACAGGGATATTTCTGCCATGGAGGCTGGACCAGTACTTGTTAGGGTGCCAGAAAGAACTCTAGAAATGCAAGGGGGCTTGGAGAGCATCTCCCCCTTCTCCCTGTGCAGCCCTCTATGCCCAACCCTGAGATGAGAAGATTCCAGATCCTGGAACTCAGGTTAGCTGTGCTGCCTAACTGCCCCCTGCTTCTCCTCTCACCCCACAGGGCATCCCCAGCCCAGGAACCAGGGGTGGGAGAAGACTGGACTGCTCACCTGTCGGTACCAGATGTAGGTGGTCAGCACCTGGTTCTTCTCATCCTGGGAAAGGAAAAAGAGCTTGTACAGGTGGCCCCCATGGCCTGGAAAGCCACACTGGTCCCTTCACCTGCAGGGGAGCTGATTCCTTGGGCCCTGAGTCTACGGGGGCCTTGAAGGGGAGCAGAGTGGACAGAGGAACAAATGCACAGGCTGGACCAACTGGGATAAGGTCAGCTTTCACTAGAGCAGCACTTGGAAGAGATGAAGTGATTTGTTCTCCATCTCAAATACGTATGTGAGTATATGTGTGTATATACATACATGCACACATACACACACACACCTCTATGCAAAAATTTATATATGCATGATATAACTTACATATAAGTAATGTTTGACAGAAGATTATAGTAGGAATTATAATACTTATTTTATCTCTATTTGAGTATGTTAAATATGAATGTGATTCAAAAAGTCTGTGGAAAATGGATGTACAAGGTTAGTTTATTTTGGGCCCGGCGGCATGGCCTAGCAGCTTAAGTCCTCGCCTTGAACTCCCCAGGATCCCATATGGGTACTGGTTCTAATCCCGGCAGCTCCACTTACCATCCAGCTCCCTGCTTGTGGCCTGGGAAAGCAGTCGAGGACAGCCCAAAGCCTTGGGACCCTGCACCCGCGTGGGAGACCCGGAAGAAGTTCCTGGATCCTGGCTTCAGACCGGCATAGCATCGGCCATTGCGCTCACTTGGGGAGTGAATCATCGGTCGGAAGATCTTCCTCTCTGTCTCTCCTCTCTGTATATCTGACTTTCCAATAAAATAAATAAATCTTTAAAAAAAAAAGATTAGTTTATTTTGCTCCAAAAAATATAAAAGTCCATGAGTAGGTTTGAATAATACAAATTATCCATGAAGCTTTTGAAGACCCCTCATGTATAATATCTGTTGTATATATTATATATAATTAAATTACATGTTATACATATACTATCTATTGTATATGAAATCATAGAATATATACATACACATGAAACTTCAGAAGTTTGAGGAAAAACATAGGGAAAGAATAAGCATAATTTGATGCGAAATTTTTGAAATCCATGCATAGCTTTTTACAAATCACATTTTTCAATACTATTTTAAAGATTTTCTGATATGCATGAGTTTGATTATTTTGTAACAAAGATATTTTAAATTCTTTCTTCCATGAACTTTTTGAACTTGTGCTTGTATATGTGGTCTGCCTTGGTATGAAATAAAGAGGGACAAATTCACACAAAACAAAAAATTCATAGGGGCTGATGTTGAGGCACAACAGGCTAAACTATTGCCTTTAACACCTGTATCTAGTGTGGACACATGTTCATGTCCTGGCTGCTCCACTTCCTATCCAGCTCCCTGTTAATGCACCTAGGAAAACGATTGAAGATGAGGTTAGGAGCTTAGGCCCCCTGCAACCCTGCACCCCCTGTACTCCTGCACCCATGTACTTCTGCACCCCTATACTCCTGCACCCTGTACCCCCTGCAACCCTGCACGCCTGCACTCCTGTACCCCTGCACCACTGTATCCCTGCACCCCTGCACCCCTGTACCCCTCCACCCTGTACCCCTCCACCCTGTACTCCTGTACCCCTGCACCCCTGTACCCCTGCACCCTGTACCCTGTACCCCTGTACTCCTGCACCCCTGTACTTCTGTACCCCTGTACCCCTGCACCCCTATACTCCTGCACCCTGCACTCCTGCACCCTGTACCCCTGCACCCCTGTACCCCTGCGCCCCTGTATTCTGCACCTCTGTACTCCTGCACCCTGTACCCCTGCACCCCTGTACCTCTGCACCCCTATACTCCTGCGCCCCTGTATTCTGCACCCCTGTACTCCTGCACCCCTGTACTCCTGTACCTCTGTACCCCTGCACCCCTGTACTCCTGCACCCTGTACCCCTGCACCCCTGTACCTCTGCACCCCTATACTCCTGCACCCCTGTACCCCTGCACCCCTGTACTCCTGCACCCCTGTATTCTGCACCCCTGTACTCCTGCACCCCTGTACTCCTGCACCCCTGTACCCCTGTGGGAGACCCAGATGGAGTTCCAGGCTGTTTGGCTCTGGCCTGGCCCAGCCTTTGCTATTTTAGCCAACTGGGGAGTGAACAAGTGGATGGAAGTTCTCTTTTTCCGTGTGTGTCTCTATGTCTCTCTCTGTCTCTCACTCTCTGCATAACTGCCTTTCAAGTAAATAAATTTTTAAGAAAAAAATCATCTGCTAACTGAATTTACCCTCTTCCCCTTCTTAAGCCGCAGTGAGCACCCCGACTTGATCCTGTGTCAAGGTGGGTGCACTGCCTGCCACAGGTGGGAAGTCGGCCATGCTGTGCTGATCGTGCTTCTCCACAGCTGCCCTGTGTTTTGTCCCTGCACCACGACTGACCTCTGAGCAGTGAACTTGTTGTGACAAGTGTAAATGAGGAAGTTAATTAATTGACTTATTGAGTGATTCTTCAATCATTTAGTGGCACATGCCATGTCCCAGACAACAAGGGCATAAAAGTCTTCATCCTCCAATAGTTGATGTAAGCAGGTGGTCCCCAGCATGTACTGTGTGAATAACCTCAAAAGGAAGTGACCACTGGCTGTTGGGGTGTGAAGACTCCGATGGCTATGAGGTTCTGGTGCCGGCAGCTGTACAGACAGTGCTGTGAGGTCAGCCACAAGTACCATGGGTTTATTAGTGTCAGCTGTGCTGCCAAACATGGCCCCACATGGTCTTCTCCCACCCCACAAGGTCCACTTCTGAAGGGGTGGGGGGCAGTTGGGGCCTCGGGGCTCACCACGCTGAGGATGGCGTAGATAATGACATCGATGGCTACAGTGGTGGGCTTCCTCCAATCCCGCACGGGCCGCACGCTCTTCTTATAGTCAGCCAGCAGGTGATCCGACAGCCTCAGTAGAGCCGGCCTGCTGCTATTCTGGGCCCGGGCACCTGCCCTGTGCCTGGCTGGGAAGGAGTACAGTTCAAAGTAAACACCAAGAGGATGCCTGGTCCTCCTGCCCTGGTTTGTAAGCTTCTAAAGAAATATCCCTGCCTCACAATAGATGTCCCATAGGCTAAAATCCCCATCACTAAAGTTGTCTGCAGAGTCCCACCTGCATTCCCACAAACTCTCACAGAAGGGTCCGATGCCCTCATTTACACATGAGCATGGAGCTAGCCTGCAAGAGCAGATGAGGGAAGACCGGGGGAGAGGGTTGGCAAAGATGATGAGTAGGGGGTTTTGCAGTCCAGATGAACAGCCTAGCTAAAGGGAACACAAATGTCATCATCAAAAACAAAGAAGACTGCGAGAAGGTGTGGCTCCAAGTGCACAAGTTTCCAAGCCTAGGGTCTGCATTAGGATTTTCCTCATCAAGGTCAGGTGTCAACATACTCACAGCTCCCTGTTTCTTCTGGACTCCAGCATGCAACCAGTGAGGGAGGAAGGAAGGGAAGACATTGGTGAAGCTGACACCCTTCTCTTTCCTGCCAAAACCACCTGGGATGGAGGAGGGATTTAAGCACACACCAGCTACGGAGAAGGCTTTGCCAAGTCTTAGGAAGAAGGTCGGGCTGATGTGTGGAACGGAGAAGCATTGCTCCCAGGGCAGGTGGCCTCTGGGGACACAACAGGAGACTGTTTGCTGAGTCTCTCCTTTGAGCTGACATTGGCTAACAGCTCATTAATTCAATCTGGTAGCAGCCAACAGAGTGGCTATGCAAAGAGACTATTTTACAGACAAGGGATCTCCAAGGCGCAGAAAGGGAAGAGCTACACCCTACAAGAGGAAGACGTGAAATTCAAATCCAGGTCTGTGTCTTGTTGCTATTCCAGAGATGGCCCACATTCGTTCACTCTGACCAATCCAGAGGAGATACAGACTGTTAGCAGCAGGCCCCAGAGCAAAGAGCCATCCCTGGGAGGGCCAGAGCATGTCCCAGCTGAGGGAGCTCAGGTCACGCTCATCGTCTACGGCACTCACACCTGCCTAGCCCCTGCATGGCCTGCTACAGGGACCTTGAGACTAAAACCCGCTGTGTTCAGGGGATTCGAGAAGGGCGGATGTAAAGGGGAGTTGGGTTCCTGGAGCTCTGTCCTGGGAAGGAGATCCTTAGAAAATCCATGCCTCCAAAACCAGTGACCATACAGAAAGAATACTAAGTGAATCAGGCCCTATTCTATTGCTATTAAGCTGTGTGGCTTTGAGCAAATCACTCGCCCTCTCTGGACAGTAGCATTCTCATCTATAACAGGAAGGGACGAGCTGAACGAACTCGTAAGTCCCACGTAGCTGTCATTGGATGCATGCAGAGGCAGGGCAGAGAAAAGGAGTGCCCCTGTGTCTAAGACAGCAGCTACTGCTATGCACCCCTCTCACCCCAGGCTCAACTTCACCTCTCTCCTTTGGCCTGGAGGCCCTACAAGGTTCTTGTGCTCACACAGCCAGACAGCTGACCTTTCTGCAACCACACCACTCCAAAACCCTCCTTCCCTCCATCCCGTGAGCACGGGGCATCCCTTAGCCATTCCCAGCCACATCTTAGCCCTAAAGCCCCCTTACCTTCGCTCTGTGCCAGGAGTGTAGGGAGGAGCAAGGCCAGCAGTGCCTGCCAGAACCACGACGGCATGGCGAGCTTCCTGTGCAGGGGGCAGCCTCGGAGTGGCTACCCAGGGCAAATCCCGCCAAGGGCCAGCCTGCCCACTGCTGTCGACTGACTACATGTCCCAGCTCGCCTGTCTCTCCAAGCCAGCTGTCGCTTGTACCTTCTGAGGCAGCAGCCTCCAACTCCCGGGCCATCAGGGTTGGAGAGCAGCCAAGCTTTCCTGCAATCATTCCTCTGGCTAGATCAGGTTTCAGGGTGGGAGGGAAAGGGAGGAAATGCTGAGAGCTGAGAGGAGCCCGCTCCAACTGATGTCATGTGGCAGAAGCCCTGTCCACCCATTCATAGCCAGGTGGCTTAGCCACAGGTCCCCAAAAAGGAAGGTGAGGATGGGGGCTGCAAAAGCCCACGCAGCAAGGGTATAGCTTGTCTGCTGCGAGGAGCACCAGCCTGGTACTATAATTTATGTCTCCTGGCAAGGTTGCTGCCGTGGCACTGGGCTGGGGTTAAGGCAGGAGGTCCTTCAATTGTTCCCGTGGTGATACAGTGCCACATGCAAACAGATGACTGGGCACCTGTGGAGACAGAGTCAGGTCCCTAGGGTCTCCACAGGTCCACTCTTTGGTCCTGTAACAAATTTCCACATTTAAATAGTCAAATATACATAGTAAATCTATATCTGGGTAACTAATATGGGTAGTAAAAATAGAACAGGCAACATACTCCTTGTAGAAAACTATGAAGACGTGAAAAATCATACAGACACAACCACTGTGAATATTTCGGCATGTATTGATCCATCAATTCCTTTTATAGTGTGCAAAGTCAATGCATTCAACATACAGTTTTGTGTTCCTCCCTTCTTTCTGGGCTTGCTGTGTTTTCAACACCTTCCTTTAAATGTGGCTTTCTAGAAATAGTGCTCTCATTTCTCCCTGTAAGTTAAACAAGTGAGCTATGCCTGCAGGCACTCACCTGCGTGCCTCATGCAAGGCACCCGATCAAAGTACCAAAGGTGGGACCTTCTCATAGAAAGAGTCCCACCCCATTTTACTATTTGATTGGAACTTTTCTATGTCAGCTGCATTGATGGCAAAATGGACTTGTAGCAGTCATGACAGAACTCTCAACAACAACAAAATAGCTGTCAGGATTCCTGGAAGAGAAATTTCTGAATTGCAGTGAAGGTAAAACACACACACACACTGCTCAGGGCTGAATCATTTCCAGCTCCTATGTGCATCATGCAATCTGTGACATGGCACAGCGCTCCACCAGTCGTTGATGAAGTGTCCACCACTCCAGGTGGCCATTAGCCGGGATTTGGCATGGGACTGTGTGGTCAAGTTCCTAGGGCTGGCATTCACCTTTCTCCTAGGTGATGTGCTTCCTTGCTGCACAGTCCAGAACAGGCAAGGAAAATCAGTTCCAGAAATTGGGAGGGGAGGAGCAGTGGTGGTCAGGAGGAAGACCAAGAAGCACAATGGACAAGTGGTCAAACAGGGAGCACCAGAGTCAGGACTCCTCCCCGCCCCCGGCAAATAAACACATCTGAGCCAAGGTTTGACAGCAGGACTGGGCAAGGCAAGAAGAGCCACGCTGCCTGCTGGCCTGCACTGTGAAGTCCTGGAGGGGCCAAGCTCAGCCAGGGCACTCTGTCTAACTGCATCCTCAAACCCATCCAAGGTTCTTGGGTTCCTGCTCACCTCCATTCATGGCCACTGTTATCTGAAACTACACTGCTGGCTTCCAGACCAAGCTCTCCTCTTGTTTGTGAGTTTTGTGAAATCTGCAAACAGCTACATACCAGTCACTCATTAGTGGGGCCCCTTCATATACAATTATCATTCATCATTAAAAAACGAACACATTGAACAGCTGTGCCCTCCCCAACACTAACCATGCCCCCAAATGCTCCTTTGTACTCTTCCGTGTCCAGCATTTATCCACATGGCTCTCCCTGACCTCTTCCACCCAGCCTAAGCCTGTGTGGCCCTCACGCCCTTGCCTTTGCAGGGCTGAACCATTTGGAGACAGAGGGTCAGGAAGAAGCGTTAGGAGCTGAACTTGTTCTGAAAGAGGCTCACACTCATCATGGGGGAAAGAGAGAGAAGACACAGAAGGTCCAACAGTGTAAAAGAGGTCGGCAGGGAGGGCATCTGGAGAAGCAAGATCAGGAAGCAAAAAATAAAAGGAACACGAAGAAAAGGAATAAGGGACAAGAAGGAAAAACGGGTAAGAAATAGAAGCAAAAGCTGGGGCGGTTGGGTAGAAAGAATGGAAATGAAAGAAGAGGGAGAGACGGAAAAGCAAAAGAGAGCAAGGAGGAAGGGGCAGGATGAGTGGGATAGCACCATGGCCAGGTGGTCTGAGTTGCTGTGGGGATTGTGGGCTGTGGCTTTCGCACCATGGGTGTGGCCAGGACCCACACAGAGGCAGTGTGACAGTCTGAAGACCCTGTCCCTTGGGCCCCAATCCTTCCTTTTTGCACGGAGCTCCTGCAAGTCCTCTAGGGCTGTCCAATTGGGTTAGGGAGGGAAACGGATGTCTTCTGTACAGTGTGTGCATTAGCGAATTAGTTCCTTGGGTAACAGGATTAGAGGGAGCCGGCCAGGCCACAGCATCAGATGGAGATGTATTGCCTGCGCGTGCCTCTGATGGAGCAGCAATCAAGTTTCCCCTGAAGAAATTCCCTATTAATGGATTTGATGACACAACGCACAGTGGGGAGCCGGAGCTGTGGCCAGTGGCAGCGTGTAAATTGCCTCAGATGAAATCGTAGAGTCACTTTTGCCCCCTGTTAAACAAGATAAGGATTAGCGAGAGGCCTTGATGAACTTGGCTTGGCTGGTGGGGCTGAGGACAAGACAGAGGCATGGCTAATTTGATTCCTGAGCTCTGCCTGCAGACCGCCAGGCTCCTCCCAGGGAGTGGAGGCACACATGGCAGCCCTCCAGCTTGGGTAATGAAACGCTCTGAGTCTGAGGACCCACAGGCCCGGAGCCTTCTCTGTGTGGTCAGCAGTACCAGCACCCTGAGAAGGAGGACTGCACCCTCGTGCTTGCCTGGAGCCGAGGCTGCTGCATGTGGTCTTGTACTGATAAGTTATCTTGTTCCCATTTCCTAGACTACAGCATCGAGCCCAGAGCGCCCCTCTGACTTGCTTTAATTCCCTGCAGCTCATTACTGGTGGAGCCGAGATCGCCCAGACTCCCGGCCCCAGAGTGTCCCATGGCAGCTGTGTTTCCCATCTTCTGCAATAAATTTTTAACTGGTCTGTAAAAACTTTTACAACCAAAGAGCCTGACCTTTTGAAACCCATAAAGAGGTTTAAAAAGTCCATCACTCGTAATAACATCAGGCCCCACGGGGTAGCTCCTTGGCCCACATCAGGGAAGGCTGACACAGTTTTATGGAAACACTGAACTAAAAGATGAGCTTATTTGGTATTGGAAAAAAATGTTTTGAAATCTCAGAACTGGTGTTGTGGCACAGTGGGAACAACGTAATCCCATACCAGAGCATCAGTTCAAGTACCCACTGCTCTGCTTCTGAGCTAGCGTGCTACTGATGCACCTGGGAAAGTAGCAGGAGATGGGCCAAACACCTGGGCCTCTGTACCCATGGTCTGGATCTGGATAAAGTTCCAGGCCCCTACTTCAGCTTGGCACAGCCCTGACCACTGCAGCCATTTGGAGAATGAATAACGGATGAAAAATTCTCTCTCTCTGCTCTGTCACTACTACATCTTTCAGATAAATAATAAATCTTTCTTTAAAAAAGAACTTTTGAAATGCTCATAGTTTTTTGATAACATGAGTTTTCCATGAACTTTTGAAGACCCTCCTTGTGCTATTCTGTAGGATCTGGGTACGTGAGATGGGCCAACACTAGAAGGATGGTTTTTAGGGACTGGCACAATGATACAATTGGTGAATCTTTTACCTACAAGTACTGACACCCAATATGAACACCAGTTTGTACTCTACCTGTTCCACTTCCCATCCAGCTCCCTGCTTGGGGCCGGAGAAAGCAGTGGAGGATGTCCCAAAGCCTTGGGATCCTGTACCCATGTGAGAGACTCAGAAGTGGCTCCTGGCTCCTGGCTTCAGATCGGCTCAACCCCAGCTGTTGCAGCCATTTGGAGAGTGAGCCAATAGACAAACGGTCTTTTTCTCTGTGTATCCTTCTCTCACAAATCTGCCTTTCCAATAAAAATAAATAAATCTTTTTTTTTTTTTTAAGGATGGTTTGCTTCTCCTCTGCCATAGCCTTGGGGAAAAGGGCTTTCCTAGGTCTCTTAGAGATGCTGACATTGTAGCTCCATGGGGCTTCTTTTTTTTTTTTATCTCAGTGTTGACCACAAAAACTCAACATGGTGGACAAGTTGTCCCTGGCAGGTGTAAAGAAAGATAAGGACTAGAAATGAAGAAGCACAAGCAAGGAACTATGAGATTAGGGTGTCTCTTTGAACTTGACAGAGCTGTTTCAAGGAGAGGTATAGAGCTCAGACCCAACCCTTCACAAATTCATGTTTCACTCTTTCACAGCCCAGTTACTCCTTCTGCCTCATCCTTTAGTTTGTATTCTTATAGTATGGTTTCCAATACGCATCCTTCACACTCGGACACAAAGGGCAAAAGGGGTTTTGTTCCTGATTACGCCATTCTGGTGGTGATGTGAAAGAACAAATCACCAGTGGAGGGGAAACCCAGAGCACTGCATGGGGTTTGTGGTTCCTGCTGCACCACCTGGAGATCTTACTGATGCCAGACTGTAGAGATTTGAGGATTTATCTCCATAAGAGAGGCAGTAATCTTTCATCTGTGTAATAGGGGACTGGAGAATTGTGGGCATGTGAAAATGGCAGAGCAAGCAGGGTCCTTTCCTTTCAACCTGCTCCATTTCTTACAGTAATCCAAGAAGGGGATATTCCAGTCTCTTCCCATGAGACAAAACTCCCATCTGTTTCCCCCATACATTGATATTTCCATCATCAAGTCCTGGATTGTTTCCTCTCTTTGAGA